GTCGGATATGGGTGCTGAATGTCATGAAACTCATCCTGATCATCCGAGTCCTCATGATCAGATGGTTCGGGTTGTACCACAATCGTGGTGGCGTCTCCTTGGTCTGAGGTTGAGGAGATTGCTCAACGGGGTCAGGTTCAGGTTCATCGATTTGAGTGGGGATTTCCTCGTAATCCGACTCGTCCTCGATGTGGGCTGGAAGCTGTACTTCCACGCGCTGTGGGATAGGTTCTGGTGGCTGATCATTTCCGTCATAGAAGATGCTTTCATTGAAGGTCACATCTCGGACCCTTCGGACTTCTGATGTGGACGGAATCCAGATCCTGAAAATGTTCGTGGAATCATATCCAACGAGATAACCGATTTCTGTGTGAGGGTCGGTCTTTAGGTCCTTCTTCTGTCTGTTCTGAAGGGCCTGGGGTGTCAAGGGATAGGCTCTGCAGCCGTATGCCTTGAGAAACGTGATGTCAGGCTGGTCTTGCTGGTAGCCTATGTCTCTGTTGTTGTCTCGCAGCCACTGATGAAGCAGCTGGAAAGGCGTTCGGAAGCTGTGGTTCTGCATGGGCGATCTGTTGTGCAAAAACACTGCTGCTTTCCAAGTCTCTGGCCAAAGATCAGATGGTAAATTGGCATCAATTCCCATTGTTCTGGCCTGGGCAGATATTACCCCCAGATCGCTCTGCAGAGCCGTTTTGAGCGAGTGTAAGGGCAGAAGGTTCATCTTGAATCCCCTTTTCCTCGATCCAGCTCTCATACGCACTCTGAAGAGAACGATCGTTATCACGGTGGATAATGCAAATATTGAGATTCCATTGGCGTTGAATCATTGCCTCATGGTTTCTCAAAGCAGTCATAACGGACCCTTGTGTCGCGTCATTCAGAAGGTAGATGAAGATCATGCTTGTAAATTCATCTTTGATAAGAAGAACAGCTTCCTTGCCGTTGAATGAGGTGTTCATACTGAAGATATCAACGTAGATTCTCCAGAATGGTCTGGGGGCTCGGTTTTGAGGGGTTCGGCGAGAGACGACCTTCTTTCCCTTCCCAAGGGAACACGCGGTGCAATCGATGGTAACTGGGCCTTTGATCTTCGAACCCGTCGTGTTCTCAACAAGACGCTCTAGGGCTTGAGCGTTCAAGTGGCCTAGGCGCTTATGCCAAAGCGTAGCATCTGCTGTTTTCACTGCGCGAGGTGCAGATGAAGATGTGAAGTTGGAGGCGTGAGAGTCCTCCTTAATCGGGTTGAACTCGATGACCGGTTGACGAAAGCGGCGTTTCGTATGAAATATAATCTGATCGTCTTTAGAGACGCGTCCAGATAGTGGATTCCAGTTGTATCCCTTCGCAAGAAAGCGGTCGAGGGATGCGATGTTGGTGTGGAATTTTGGCACGAAGGCAACTTCGTTGAGCTGAAAAAGTCCTCCTTCTTCAAGCTTCATACGGACTGTGCCGTAGCCAAGGATCTGAAGTTGACTATCGCCTGCAAAGAGCTCTTTTGGCTCTGCAAGGGCGGTGTAGTCAAGAAAACGGGATCGGTTGTTGCAAATGTGTGTGTCTGATCCGGAATCAAGGATAAAGGAGTCATACAGCGGGTAGACTGCCTTTCCCGTCGAGAAACTGGTTGATGGAGGTGTTGAGGAGGCGGTGTGTTGTCAGGAGCTGGTAGAAGACCGGCAAACGCTGTGCCTTTAACGGAGGAGTCGGACGATTTCTCCATTTCCTTCTTCTTGAAGTCTTGTGCTTTCTCCGTCATCTTCTTTGCCCATGGATTGGAGTCGAGGATTTCCTTGATCTTCTTCTCAACCTTCTGATCAGGAGTCCAGCCATCAGGCCGAGCTGATTTGATGAGATAGAAGCAATCTACGAAGCGGTGATATTCTCCGCAGACACACATAGGAACACCATCAGCGTTCTTGCTTGAAGACCACTTAGGCTTGTCCTCTTTCCTCTCCGATTTCTCTCCCTTGCCTTGGAAGGCAGCTCCGAATGATCCTTTGCTGTTGTTGGCGGCCTTGATTCGGTGAGCTCGTTCAAAGATCTCACTGATCTTAATGCCGTCCGGGAAGTCGGTCTTCCACTCAGGCTTGCCGAATACGGCCTCGTCTTCCATTTTGTTGACCCAATAGTCTGTGAATGGGGCGTTGATGGACGAAACAGCCTGTAGGAAATCTTGGTAGGGCGAAGGTCCTGGACATCAGGAAGCCCTAATTGCTTTGCCTCAGTGAGGACTTTCTGCCATTGGGTGACCCAAGCTTCGATCTTGGTCCTGTTTGGCGACTGAAGGGTGGAACGATAACGCTGAACAACTTCCTCTCGAGTGCCCAGTCGGTTGGGGCCACACGAGCCTGAAGCAAGGCAAGTTGCTTTGCAACGTCGTGTTCCTCGGCAATGGTGCTGTAGTAGTTGCCGATGGTCTTGACGATGTGTTGTTGAAGGCTGGCGAGTGCCTTCACTTGATCCCTATACCCTTGAAGCTTCGAGCGGTATTGGGTGTGGAGGAATTCGAGACGGCGAAATTCCTCCGAGGTCAGATCCACGAGATCAGATGCTTCGTGGTTGATTTGTCGGAATGTTGGTTCAACTGGCTGCTGAAGAACCGGCTTACCCTCCTTGACGGCAGGGTCCAGAAAGTCCCAAAGACTGTGGGACGTGGCGAATTTCTTGATGATAGAAATCCATTGTTTCCAGTCGCAAGGGCCGTTGAGCACGGTGCCCTTGGAAGAGCCATCAAGATCTAGAGCTGAGCTCATTGTGGAAGCTATTCTGCGCAGCGGAGTGAACAAGAATAAGATACCCAGTCAGTGGCAGACCGGGCTCATAACTATCGCACGGAGGATGAGCAAGTGGGCATAAAGATCAGGGACTGGAAGACTCTTGATTCTGCTATCTAAGGTGGGAAAGAGGCGAGATCTTTATAGACTGCCTGAATATGAGAATGGAAGGGAATGGTAGTGAATGGAAGCATCTGATCAGATCATCTGGAAGCCACTGATGCGTTGATGATGCCTCCTAGAAGTTTCTGTGGGGAAATGTGGAAACGGACTGTGCGAATAGGGGGTCAGACTGTTGGAGGCTGATATCCTATGTGTGACACGCAGCGACGTAGGCAGGCGATTCGTCAGTAAGACAATAGTACTTATCCATCTTCGCCCAGCCCGAGTTATACATTGGTGCCATAATCGGATCGTCGATATGTGCCTCTTTTCCTGCTTCGAATTGCGCCAATACGAAGTCCATAGCCAAGAGAACATTGTCAAGAGTTGCAAACGATGACTCAAGGGCCTTGTCGTCATTTTAAGCTTCTCCAAGAAAGACTTGATCTTCTCGAGGATGACCCACTCCTCGGGAGAGCTCGTCTCCGGCACAATCTCCTTCCACCCATTTGTTGAAATATCCCTCGACTGCGCCTCTAAGATGCAAGGCCGCTCGTAGCATGGTGTACCACGAACTCCACCTCGTGTCATTATCTCGCGCAAGCTTGCGATTATGGCTGATGGCCAGAAACTTTTGGCGACGCTGAACACTACTTTGGACGAAAACCACGAAGTTGTGGAGCTTGCCAAGGGGACCCTTTTTCCGCCACGCCTCGATCTCTTTTAGTGTCACATTATGCCCATCACGTTCGTCGTCTTTGAGCTTCTCATTATCGGTAACGAAGAGAAAGCTTTGGCGGCAAGGTTGATAATGTGACCTTGGCAGCGGAGTCGGTGAGATTTGGGATCGTATCGAATGTCATATCGACGTAGAAGGCCTGTAAATGTTAGGGCCAGTCAGAAAAACAGTGCGCCGTACTTACCAAGGAAAGAGATCTCATCATTGTATCGTTATTGCCTGCATTGTCCATCACAAAATATCCAAGGTTGGAAGCAAACCCCAGTCATCAACCACTTCCAAAATTGCCCTTGCCAGGTGATATCCGTCGTGCTCACTGTCGATGTCTTTCAAAGCCAAGACATGGTGTTCCAACTGACTGTCTTCTGCAACGTAATGAGCAACTACGCCTAAGATGGCCAAAGAGTTGGGGGAAGTCCATAGGTCGCAGCTGATATGAATTTTTGACTTTGCTGACTGGATGCGCTGCTTGACCTTCTCCTTCTGACCTTCGTACTGCCGCATAATCCATTTCTTGATGGTCTCGTGTGTATCTGGAAGCCAAGTATCGATATCGGCGTTGAGGTAGGCTAAGAATGCTCGGAATTCTGGGCATTCCACAAGCCTAAATGGGAGAGAACAGGACGTAATAAACCTTACGTATAAAGCTTCGAGCTGGTCTGGGTCGATCGAGTCTCCGGATTGATCGTTGAGCCGACGGCGTTTTCGGGGATGTTCTTTGGCCGTAACACGAGCTATCTCGAGAATAGTTCGTATATTCGTGACTTTGGCAGTTCGTGGCGCGCCTTTGGGAGGCCGTGACCGTCAGGAGGAGGATCCGTAAGGTGCTTGGCTGGGGCCGCAGTTCCACCGGAACAGCAATACGTTTTGTCACAGTGTTTGCAGCGCCATTCTTCTTTCCGGTCCGCTGATTGTAGTATTTCGTCTCTATGTCCTCGTCTGGCATATGAGAAAAGACCCATGATGTTCTTGGCTTGGCCGAAGGGTTTATGGAGGCCGTGCGAGGTTGCGACGATTGGCATTCAGTGGTTTGGGTCTCATCTGGATCATGCAACCGTGGGCTGGAAATCTCCGAGTATTCGTCTGATATTGACGAATCCCGTCGCGGCGATGTTTGAACAAAAGGCAGGCGTTGTTGAGGCATCGAGATTGCTTGTAAGTCCTGGGGTGGGAAAGCGGGGTTGAGGAGGAAAACAGTGTTTGGACGGCGAGCCGCTACCCTGTAGGTCTGGATTTATACATACATTTACGCGTTTCCGTGCGCCAATAGGAAACTTTTACGTCCTGGAGGTCCGCCAGACGAAAAACAATACATAGAACATGCTTATATTTACGCGTGTTTTTTGACGCGTCATCATATTGGCGCGAATTGGGGAACGGAAAGGCGAATGACTACCAACCAATACAAACAATACAAGCCATATATTGCCAGTATGGAAGGCGCTATATTGTATCGTCACAATATGACGGCGAGCATATTGTATTGGTACAATATGAGAAATCGCGTATTGTATTGTATATACTGCAGTATACTACTTTATTGTCATATTATTAGCAACACTGCGAGAAATCGAGGAACGCCGACCCCTGATCTCCGCGGCATTGGAATTTCGCGGCAGATACGATGAACGCCCCCAAGGCCGTGACCGTGACCGCAACTACCAAAGTCGTGATCGTAGTAGTGATCGTGATCGCAGCTTTAGGAACGATAGCCGCGACCGCGACCGCAGCTATCAGCGAGATCACTACCAACGCGATCGAGGCCTTGACCGCAGAGACCGCAGCAACCCCAGCAGCGACTTACGGGCCAAGGAAAGGCGAGAGAGCCGCCCCAAAGATCCTCAGCGCAATGAGCGAAGCGGCGGCTATGAGAAAAAGGTCCGCTTTGAGAAAAATTACCTTGCCAGCGAGGATGAAAACAAGCAAGATGCTCCAGACGACAAGAAAACCGCCATTTCCGACAACGATGAAGCCAGTGATGTAGGATCAGACGCTTCTATCGAGGAATACTACGTCTGTATGACCTCAACTCCTGAGAATCTTGGCCAACAAGGAAACCACCAATGCCGGAAGTGTAACCGCAAGTTCCTCCCGCAGTGTGTTATTTGAGCACACACAAGCACGCTGCTGTGTGTCTGCTCAACAGCTCCAGCAGGAGGCGACCCCAGCAAGACCTTCGTTGTGTGGGAAATGCTACGCCCGATTTCCCTCACGCAATGCACTCTTCAGGCACCTTCCTGGTTGCGTGTCACAGCCCAAGGCCCACGCAAATGGAGAGGCATATAAAGCCGTAGAGCAGCACAATCCAATTCCTCCCCAGAAAGCCCAGTATCTTTGGGAACAGTCGCGAGCGCTATCGCAGGAAATCCTCGAGCCACAGCCGCTCGAGCCGCCATCGCACAATGCCCTTTCGGCTACTCATATCTTCGCATCAAGATCAAGGCAGCTCCCACAGGACCAGAGACCGAGGTCTGTGCGGATTCCGGGTGTGGCAACCCCCTGATTGACAGAAAGCTTCTCAAGAGCTTCGAGCACACCATTGAGAAGAAGCCTTCAACGCCAATTGCAGGCATCAGCGGCAGTATCCGCTGCACAGACTGGGCCACGTTCTCCTTCTATGCAGAAGGAAAGAGGGCTGACGGCAGCAGCGCCGGCATAGCTAAATTCACCAGTTCCGCTTGGGTGACTACCGTGGAACCAGGAGCCTTGCTAGGCAATGCCTTCCTCAAGCCGTATGTTGGAAACATCCACTACGACAAGGAAGTCGTTCAAATAGGCCTCCTCGACGACTTCGGTATCCCTTTAACATCTATAAGCCTCATAAAGGGTAGTCCGACGCGTTCAGGCCGTCAGAAAACCGTGGTCCCGGCAGGCAAGACAATGCTAGTCCCAGCTAGCTGGAAGGAAGTCCCTAAAGGCCGTTCCTTCGCCTTTCATTCCAATCATCCCTTGGCCGCTCATGCTCTCGTTGACCGAAACACTGTCCCGGCGGTCATGTTCACCGGTCCAAGAGAGGTCGATCGTCCTGCCTAGCGCGGCCATCTCGTGGGACGTAGACAACTCGTTCAAGGCCGAGCAGCGTCACCAGCACGACAAAGCGCACGCACTGTGGAAGAGGTTCACGACGGTCGTCATGCTGGACGAGCAGATGCGCGCCGCCGGCGACCCGGAGCTGCAGAGGCTGCTGAAGCGGATCCGTCTAGGCGTGCAGGATCGGACGGATCTAAACCTCCTCAACTCAAGGTGCTACCGGGAGGAAGGCGGATCCTTGGGAGACGGGCATCACCGTGGTGACGCCGCTCAATAGGAATCGGTGGAACCTGAACATGGAGGCGAGCCTGGCGTTCCGGGTCCAGCAGCGGTCGACGATGCGCATTTTCATCTCCGAGCACAAGTGGAAGGAGGAGCTGCCGACGGAGGAAGAGGCGATCATGATACTCAACCAGGGCGACGATAGCGCGATCCCGGTGCCGGCCGTCTTCATGTTCGTGGCCGGGATGCCCATCGTCGTGAACCACAACACCCACCAGGGGCTGAAGCTAGTGAACGGCGCGAGCTACTCGGCGGTGGAGGTCATTGTCGACAAGGCGTACCCGGGGCATCGGATCTCGGCCGATATGACGATCCACTTCGGCCGCCGGCGGGATCATTCTCGAATCGGAGACGACGAGATATCTCCACTTCGTCGGGATGCCGCCGGGCACGATCTTGTTGACACCCATGACCGTTAAGATACAGTGCCAGCGAAAAAGGCCGTGGCAACGCAACGACGTCAGCCGAAAGGGTTTGCCGTGCGCAGCAGCGTTCGCGTGCACGGACTACAAGGTGCAGGGCAAAACGCTGGAGCGCGTGGCCTCGAGCTGCGAGGGACACGGACGACGAAGATGGATGGAACGGTGGTGCCCTCGCAGTGCGACCCGTACGGCCTGTACGTGCAGCTATCGCGCTGCCGAACTCTAGACGGCATCATGCTCGTGTCCAAGGTGCGGGACAGAGACTTGGTGGGCAACCGGGTCCCCGAGGAGATGACTGCCGCACAGGCCAGGCTCGAGGTACTGAGCGAGAGGACCGTTGAGGAGGCGTTGCGCTGGCTGGACGGTGATGCTGAAGAGTCAAGGCGGCCGCGCTAGGTGACGCGATGAAGAGTTCGGCAGGCGGGAAGAGTCGGCAGGCGGCAGACAGGGTGGGAGGCGCCTAGTGGTGGGATAAGGCACGCGAAAAGGCAACAGAAGCCGGGGGAAGGGCAGCGACCAACAAGGAGGGAGGCAAGGAGGGACCAATCACAAGGGACCAATCAAGGGGCGGAGAACTTTTGGGGGGAGAGGGCGGGGTCTGCGGGGCACGTTAGAAAGGCCTTTCGTTCCTCAAAGGCATTGGGACGGGTAAGGCAACCCCTCACGGGTTGCGCAAAGGGCCTTGAGGAACGAAGACTTGAGGAACGAAGACTGAAGATTGGAGAGACAATCAAGACAAAGACAAGACAAAGACAGGGCGAGAGAAAGAACGCAAGCAGGCGGTAGCGCTAGGAACTAAAGCGTGCAAAAAGGTAGGCAAAGAAATCGGCCATTCGGGTACCAACCCGCAGCGGGGAGGAGACAAAAAAAGCAAGAAGGCAAGTGGAGCGGCGATAAACATTTGCGTGGTAAGAGAAAGGAAGGGAGTATAAGATGTTACGGCCAGGCACATACGAGCCTTGACGGCTATAAAGATGTATTGGCACTATGAACGAAGACTCAAAGCTAAGGAGCAAGAAAGAAAGACTAGACTACACGACCGAGCTGGCCCTTATGTGCATCTGCACGAGGTTACCTCAGCAGCGCTCAGGTAAGCACGAGGTCGCACGTGGGCACGTGATGCTGCTTGGGCACGTGACACTGGTGAGGTTCTGCGCTGGTGTCTCTACGCTGGCGCGCAGGGTCGTGACACTACCCCCCGTCTAAGGCCTTGATATGCGTATCAAGGTAGTCAGTCGTGGCGGCGGGTTCTTGGTTTCACGGCTTTCTCTGCTGTGTCATCATCGTCTCGTTCCTCGCAGCCCTCCTCCGCTGCAGCACATTCGATCCAGTATTGCAGGTTGACGGGTGGGCCTGCTGCGTCCGGATGTTCATCGTGGAATACCTTCAATGCTATTGGTGCGTTACGGAAATTCCTAGCCGGGTACCAGGTCTCATCAGGTCACATCCCTTCCATAAGACCTGGTATTCCAGTCGTCGACTCTACCGGTTACTCGAGACTGCTGGACTTGATCAACCTCCCACTCGGGTTCTCCGTTGATCTCCTCGGGTGGCGGAGGTGTCTGGATCTGCTGGGGCAAGGGTTATCGGCTGCTTTTCGAAGACGGTCGGCGTGGAATAGGTTCTTCATTTTGTACGACTCGGGCAGCTGCAGTACGTAGCTATGACCGCGTTCTTCCAGGATTACGAACGGACCTGACCATTGGTTATCTAGCCGAGTAGTCGGAGCGTTCGTGGCGAAGCCTTTCCTGCTGAGAAAAACTCGGTCACCGATGGCAAAGTCGGTTGGTCGTCGTTTCCTATTAGCCTGTTCCTTCTGACGTTCTTGAGCGGCGATGGCAGCATTCCTGGCGTCTTCCTGGGTTTCCTGGGCGGTCTGCACAAGTTCCCTAGCTCTGGCGGCGGGTCCGGTGGCAGCGGTCTTGTTAGTCGGGGGCAGTGACAGGGGATTCCGGATATCTCGGCCTAGGGCTACTTTTAACGGTGCCATGTCGATGGAAGAGTGCCAAGACGAGTTATGGGCGAAGTCGAGGGCGGGCAGCAGGGAACTCCAGTTGTCTTGATGCTTCGTCACGTAGAATCGTAGCTTTTGATCCAGGTATTGATTTGTGACTTCTACACCCCTTGGGTCTGAGGTGTAGGGAGCTTCCATGACGATGCTTCGTTCCCGTGAGCCGGTTAATCTCTGCGAGGAAGGCAGAAATAAACTGTCCAGCGTTGTCAGAAATCCATACGAGGGCATACCGAAGAAACGATAGAGGTAGCGGAAGTAGCGGCTAGCTAAGACTTCTGCTGTATCGTTTTCTTTCCTGGGAGCGTGGCGATAATCCGGCTTAGCTTGCAGACGAAGGTACAAACATAGTCATATCCGTAACGGTCTTTCGGCATATCCTTCCGTCACATTCGACGTGCTCCCAAACAGAAGTCGGCACGGGCAGTGGATGGAGCAGTCCAGGGGTCTTGTCTCGAGGGGTTTTGTTGCGGCGGCAGTCGTGGCAGTTCCGAATATAACGACGGATATCCTCCTTCATCCTTGGCCAGTAGAAGTCTCGTTGGAGCAGCTTGATCACCTTGTTCTGTCCGGCGTGAGCGAAGATCTGGGGCTCGTGGGCTTCGCGAATGAGCGCGGTCTGAAGAAACGTCTGCTTGTCTGAGGTCTGGGCTGGTACGATCAGGTGTGTTCCATGGGTGCCGAGGTCTTGGAGGAGGTTCTCTTGGCGGATCAACGAAACGAGTTCGGCTCCCTTCGGGACCGAGTTCGGGTCTAGTTCTGGGCGGTCTTGATCGGGCGTCTGCTGTATCCCTTGGTCTTCTGGGGTCTGTAGGGCACTCGTGGCCCTCAGAACTAATGGTCTAGTAGGCTTAGGTTCGGGACTAAAGTTCTGAGGGGGCAGGTGGCCGGCGGCCGTAGGGTCTAGAGAGTCGGTCGCGAAGCCTAGCCTTTCCGGAGGGATCAGGGTCACCGTGCGTTCCTCGGCTTCCGGGCCTTTACGGTAGGAAGCTCGGCTGTCTTCCTGGAGAGGGCATCGGCGACTACGTTCAGTCGACCGGGGCGGTAGAGGAAACGGATGTCGAACTGGGCGAGAAAGTCGGACCATCTGATCTGTCGTACCGAGAGCAGGCGCTTCGTAGAGAAATGGACTAAGGCTTCGTGGTCGGTGATCACATCGAACTTCTGGCCTAAGAGCTCTGGGTAGAAGTGCTCTAGACTCTGTACGACGGCGAGGAGCTCTCGATCTTGGATTGGGTAGGCTCGCTCGGCCGGGGTCATGGTCCTAGAGAAGAATCCAACGGGCTTCCAGGTCTGATCAGGCTGTTCCTGCCATAGAACACCAGCTGTGGCATTCCGGGAGGCATCGGTCTCCAGTCGGGTCGGCAGTTCTGGTCTAAAGAAGGCGAGGACCGGGGCTTCGATAGCCAGGCGCTTGAGTTGATCAAATGCTTCGCGTTGCTCCGGGCCCATCACAAAGGCAACATCCTTCTTAAGCAACCGGTTCAAGGGTTCTGCCACTCCCGAGGCGTGGTAGCAGAAAACACGGATGAAGTTGCATAGGCCAACGAATGATCGGATCGCGGTGCGGTCTCGGAGGTCTTCAAACTTCCAGTCTTGTATCGATCGAACTTTCCGAGGGTCGACACTAAGGCCCACACCGGCTTCAAGCAGAACGCCGAGGTAGTCAACCTTGGTCACGTTAAATCTAGACTTCTTGATGTCTCCCTGGAGGTTGGCCTGATGGAGTCGCCAGATCACTTCTTGACAGTCTTTCCAGTGGTCTTCTTCTTTATCCGAGTAGATCAGGACGTCATCTGCGTAGGCGCTGGCGCACCGGTCGAGGAGATCGTGAAGCTGCGCGTTGATAAACTGCTGGAACCAGGCGGGACCTACCTTCAGACCGAACGGGAGGACTTTCCAGCGGAAAGTTCCGAAACGGGTGCGAAAGGCGGTCAAATACTCGGAGTCAGGGTCCATGCGGAGACGGTGGAAGGCCTGGATCACATCGATCTTCGTGAAGCGTTGAGCTTCACGGCAACCAAGCAGTGCCTTCGAGGACGGAGCGGGCGTGATGCGACTTTTAAGATGATCGTTCATCCAACGGTAGTCGATGCAGAAGCGGCGGGCGGTCGTGTTCGGTTTCGGAGCGAAGAGGACAGAAGCGGCGTGCGGACTCGGATCGGGCTCGATGAAGTCTATCTCCGGAGGTGATCGACAGTCTCTTTCTCTAGAGGCAGATACTTAACGGGCGTGCGGTACGATGGGGTCCTGTCGGCGAAAGAGGCTTCTCAAGCTCTAGGACTACATCGTGACCGGGTCGGCTCGAAGGTAGGTGTGGGCCTCTTTCTTCGAGAAGAATCCTCTAGATGGGTGAGCTGGGGCGGTAGACGACTACGGACACAAGCAACATGCTCAGGGTCTTCTCCTGAGGGAACGGAATGCTTTGTCCCTGGTAGGTCTTCTGATCCGGGAGACTTTAGCAACGGTTCGAGCACTAGGGACGGTCTGGTCAAGGCCGGAGCTTGGCTCGAGCTGGACTGGATCCCGGGCATCAACGGTTCGAGTTCGTTCCACTGTTCGAATCTCTCGTGAGACTCTACTTGGCAGACCAGGGCGTTAATCAGGGCTTGATCTTCGGAGGCTTGGACCGAGGCGACGGAGACGAAGGCGGTAGCAGGGGCGGTCGTGAGCTGAAAACGGACAGACTTCTTGGCAGACGGAGACTTGGACTGAAACGACGGAGACGGAGTCGGTAACGGGGTCGGGACAGAGGCCGGAGGAGCTTGATCAGAGCGGCGCCAGTTCTTGTGGAGGATCCGGTAGCGTTTCTCCTCTTTCTCGAGCAGGCGGTTCCGCCTCTCAGCGTCGGCCTGGATCTTAGGTCGATCCGACCCGAGAGCGGGGCTTGACGAGAGAGCTGGATCGTCGGGGAGAACTTGGCGAGGGCAGGAAGATCATCTGGCCAGATGATCTGTCGGGCGGCGCAGTCAAGCAGGAGGCGCTTCTCCCGCATCCAGAAAAGACCGATAAAGATATCATGGCCACACTCAGCTATATCAAATGTCTCGTTTGCGAACGAACGGCCATCGATGACGAAAGTGGCGACCAGCTGTTTCTGGATATAGCCGGCTGGCTTTCCACGGAAGTCTTGGAGGAATCCGACTCGGGAGCTCCTTAATCTGGGCTCCGAGTCTTTGGGCGGCGGACTGGGCGAAGGTTGGGCTAACCAGCAAACGGGTTTCGGCTCCGGTATCACAGAGGGAGCGGGCAGGTAGGCTCACACCATCCACTTGGACTTGACTTGGCAGAGTGAATGACTTGCTAGACCTACTCGCTGTCTGTGACACCTTAGGGACCATCAAGGAGTCTTGTGATGGTCCTATTCGTTTCCGAATCTTGATCAGAGTCGTTGGCAGGGACAGGGACGGAGGCGACACGGGAGACAGCATGGGTGCGGTCGGGACACTCGCGAGAGGTGCCCTGTTTTCCACAAATAAAGCAGGTGCCATTATCCCAATGGACCCTTTCTCATCGTCGGTCAAGGCTCTGCCAGCATCACGCGAGGTGATAGGGTCGAGCCGGTCTTGTTCGGAGTCTTGGCGGTAGTCGGAGCAGTCCTAGTCGGCGCGCGGCGAGATCGGTCGGAAGAGCGGGAGTCCTGTGTCTGCCTCATACTCCTCTTCTGGCAGTGGACAGCGTCTTTAATGAACCCACAGAAAACCTCGTAGGTCACGGACTCGTCACGGGTCTTGGTCAAGAGGCTGTTATCTAGGTTGGCCGGGATGTGCTGCCACAAGGTATGCTTCATCTGGTCCTCGGGCACACGACCGGTCGCAGTTAAGTAGTCAAATTCCGCAAGAAAGTCCACAATGTCGGTCTTCCCATTCACGGTAAACTGGAGGCGTTGCAGGCGGTCAAGAGCCTCGGAAAGCTCATTCGGATTGCCATAGGCGGACTCAAGGGCTTGGATCATCTCTGCCACTCCAGAGAAGGGTCGAGTGTCAGAGGAGAAGCGGGTTTCAAGTGCTCGGCGGGCTTTTCCCTCGAGCAGGTTATACAGACAGACCATCCGGCTGTTCTCAGTCCGGAAGGTTCGTACGTCTTCGTCAAATTTGTTCTTTATGCTCAGGATGAAGGAATGGAACTCGTCCTTCTTCCCTGAGAACGTCGCGGAGACCTTGATGCGCGATTTGGCGGCGTCGCTGTACTCGGGGTTCTTGCCCTCTGGGAAGGGGGCAAAACAGGCCAGGCAGCTTTGCCTGTTGGTCGGAAGGCCGGGCCATTTGGGCCGGCAAAAGCAGTCGAGGGCTCCCGGTGCTGTCGATTTGATTCAACAGACGGAGAGCGTTCATTTAGACGGGCCGTTAAGGCCGCAATCTGTCCCCTCATCTCGCGGATGAGAGCGTCTTGGGGGCTCGGGGCAGCCATGGCTGCTATTTCGGATTCAGTGGCTTGGCCAGCAAGCCGGGCAGAACGGCGAGGCTGATCAGAGGGCAGGGCTTCCTCGGATATCATAGTCTCGAGGTCAGAGTCTAGGGTCGGAAATGATACCACGCGGAATCACGGTCAGATGCCTGCACGAGCAGGGACGGTCGGAGGTCAGACGGGACGAATCCCTTGGTCGGAACGGTTGGTCGGACGACTACACACGCGTAGTCTTGGTCGGAACGGACGTGATCTCAGCCTTGAGGATCACTTGGTCGGTGGTCGGAGTCTTGGTCGGAACGGTCAGAACGGATGCGCTGGATTTACGTCAGGCGCGTGTGACGTGAAAGCTCGGTGCCTATTTGCTTAATCGCTGGCAAGCGATCTTATTGAGCTTTGAGTAGTGTTACGGCCAGGCACATACGAGCCTTGACGGCTATAAAGATGTATTGGCACTATGAACGAAGACTCAAAGCTAAGGAGCAAGAAAGAAAGACTAGACTACACGACCGAGCTGGCCCTTATGTGCATCTGCACGAGGTTACCTCAGCAGCGCTCAGGTAAGCACGAGGTCGCACGTGGGCACGTGATGCTGCTTGGGCACGTGACACTGGTGAGGTTCTGCGCTGGTGTCTCTACGCTGGCGCGCAGGGTCGTGACATAAGAGAGGCACTAAGGCATAAATAGGAGAGAAGAGCAGAAGCAACTACTGAGTTCTGGTGCGAATTCGGGGCCAGGGAGCTTAAGTACATGCATACCATCCCGAAGACGCTCGTGATGCAGGCAGCGAGGCCAAACAACGAAGCCAGCGCACAGTTCCTACAGTGGATAAGGCCAATCCTACAGGAGCACGAGGCAGTGTGTCGGAAGGCAGCAGGGGCGCGCTGCGAGAGCTGCGGCGGACTCGCAAAAGGACATTCTACAGAGCCCGATATCGTTTCTACACGCAGAGAGGCCATATGTCCTCGTGGTTGTCTCGTCGTTCTGCGGCAAAGAAGGATGCGAAATTAGGGCGAGGCAGGAAATGCAGGACACGATGGCAGAGGCGGGGCAGGCGAACGAAAGCATAGGCGCAAAGCAAATGCAAGGGCAGGATTTGCAGAGCACAGAGGGGAAGGTCTCCGGGTTTGTGGAGAGATGGTGGGGGCGAAGAGGTGCAGCCGATGCCTGGCGGTCGCGTACTGCAGCAGGCAACACCAAAAAGAGGACTGGAAGGTGCACAAGAAGGGATGCAAGCCAAAGGCAAGCTAGGGAGCTAGGGAGAGGAGGGAAAGGGAGGGAAGGAAAATAAAAGGGACAAGGCATAACGCACAGGACATAAACAAGGTCACAGAGAACGTATAGAGGCAGGCACTATCGTAAGAAATAGGTCGCAAGCTAAAGTTGTTGTTTCAAAAAAAGAGATAAACGTTGTAATGTGTAGAGTAATGGCAATTTTGCAGCGATAAATTTCGTTAGGAATAGCATCTCGAGAGGGAGAACGGTTTATTTTAGTAAAGGCAAGAGGCGTAAGAGAGCGATAGGTTTATAGTAGGCAGCTCATTTCTGCATGCGATAGCGGATAGGTCGAGCGGGCGGGTCGGAGGTGCTCGCTATGATAGAGTCGAGAGGGCAACCCGGGCTGGCCGTCGGGGCGGGAGCGGGCGGGACGCCGTCTGGTCGAGGCGAAGAAGCAGCTGGCGGGGGAGAGAAGGAGGGGGGGGCGGAGCCGACGGTGTTCGAAGACGAGGAAGGCGGCGAATGCTGCTGCTGCAGCAAGCGAGCCCTCTTCATAGGCGTATCGGCAAGGGCCGGGTGGGAGCGCTTAGGAGGCGGCGTGACGGGGTCGAGGGCGGTCGGGGCCGACGCCGAGGAAGGGGGGGCCGACGCGGCCGAGGCCGGCGCGGCAACGGAGTACAAGGCGGCGCGGACGGAATTGAAGGTAGAGGAGGCGGACGGGGTCAGACGTCTAAGGGGCGTAGCGAGGGGGGGGAAGCCGAGGCGGCGGCGGCCGCCGAGGGCCTATCGACAAAGGTCCAGCTGTCCGGGACGACGATAAAGACGTAATCGCGCTCTGAGCCCGGGGGGCAGAGCATAACGCGGTGATCGAGAAGGCCGACGACTTTTCCAGTGCAGGTAAATGGGACGCCGGGCAGGAAGGAAGAGTTAGGCTTTTCATTATCGATGCGCTTTGAGTGCTTTCCAACCCTTTCTGGGATCTGACGAACGCGAGTGTGTTCGTTGAGCAGCAGTCGTAACGTCGTTGAAGAGCGAGTCAAGCGATGGAAAGAAAAGGACAGGAGAAGCGGGCCGAGCCACGGCGAGAAGACGAGGAGTGGGTCAACGACAGATAGAAGAGGAGGGGCCAAGGGCCCCAAGATAGCGTGCGCCACACAGACTTAGGAAATCCAGGTCCTTCAACCAACTTCCCGTACGTGTAATGGATAGTCCGAAATTGATTTACTTGCCTCTAGCAATAAATTGTCTTCCATGTGCGCAGTTTGTTGTTGTGGTGAGGTGCGAGTAGCATTGGTGGGGAATTTCTGTCCGAGTGGGGGGTCTGTACGGGTAGGGGGTAGATTACGTTAGTGACTCCTCTCCGCCCACGGACGACCAATGGTCTGAGCTCGCTGAGGTAAGTCACGTACAAGGATGTGTCAGGGGTCTTCAGAAGAAGAATAAATTCAAAGAGGGGGATGAGGGACGAATTTTAGTCCCCCCTAGTACCCGTTGGTAAGCAGTGGCATCGAACCTTCTACATGACAACGTCGTCTAGGCGGCCTGGGTGGCGACATGACATCGCCACCCCAAGGCAGCCACAGGTGACAGAACTATAAGAGGTCACCTTTGTTAGAGAGAAGGAACAATCACTTCAGAGCAGTCAATACACCAAACCTCTATGCACCCTGTCTCTCGCAGGGTAATAATTTTGAAAGGTAAGAATCAACATGTCAATTGAGGTTCGTCTTGTCCCATTTCTAGCTTGCGCATAGTGCTTCTTTATACATCAATGCTCTCCGGCTGCTCTCGGCTTCTCCTCCGCATTGTCTCGGACAGCTGTCCTTTATCCAATAAAAGCAAGGGGGGAAAGAGTGATGTGCTACTAGGGGGGCCTCAAAGTCGGCCAATCCCCGTGACAGCTCCACAGTCACGGGGGGGCGGTTGACCTAAAAAAAGCTCGTTGACCTGGAAAAAAAGAAGTACATAAGAGCCCCGCCATTTTGCTAGAACTTAAAAGTACCTCTCTTCCCGCGATGTTAAAGTTAAGATAAAATAATTTATCATTAGTCTCTGACTCATTGACCGGAACTTTTGTCCCCCCACTGTACCCTGTATTAATCGAAAGAATCATAAGTGTCGGGAGGTCTGTACTGCAGTAACGCAATGGGTTGTATTCAAGATGTCTTGCTAGGAAGGGAGGAAAGGGAATGAGGGGGCACACTACGTGCCCTTTATACACGGATCCCCGAGGTCCATACACGTGACGCTAAGGGTCACGTGTGCGTGTGTGCGCACCTCCTTACAATCCTACTATAGCTATATGCTACATTCCCACACTGGCAAATCTTCTTTTATCGCTGCAATCGCAGCAGTAGCAGCAGGTGCGGGAGCGTAGCAGCAACCGCAAGGGTGCGAAAAGAGTGACGGTTCGAGCGGCAGCTAGCGGGAGGGCGTTCGACTGATCCTTCTATCCTAATCGTAAGGCTATTCGTATCGACGAGGCGTTCGAGGGCGCGGTTAGGCGATGCCTTTGTCATAGCATCTGCTGGGTTGTCTGCGCCGTTAATCCAGCGGATTTCTGTGATCTCACGCCTTTCGTAGGATTGACGTAGGGCCATGATATCTATCATCAATCGCTTCTCCTTCGTTGTGCCTAGCTTAACGAGGCACTCGTAGAGGGAAAAAGAGTCGGTGCAAACGATTAGGGATAGGGGAAGATTGAGGCGGTCTGTGATCTTCCGTATCGTCGTTGCTAGTGATATCCCAATATCGAATCCGTTGACCATGCCGTAGATCTCTGATGCTAGCACGCTTCGGGTGACCCTCTTACACTTCGTTGAGCTCCAATGGAGGACATTGCCCTTGATCCCGAATTGGTCTTTGGTACGTGCGGTCTCGGTCTCATTGACTAGGGCAATGACGAAGCCTAGCTGTGACGATAGGTCCTTATTGTTCGCAAAGGAACCGTCGGTAAAGACGATAAGCTTGGCATTGGCGAGGTCAATAGGGATATACGTTAGGCCTCGCTGCTGGTGGTCTTTCTGCCATTGAAGCCGCTTGTTGAGGTCGTGCAATCCTCTTCCGTAGGGGTTTGGACCTGGGCAGCAATAGAGATGTCGAATGAGGCCTCTGGTTGACAGATTGAAGCCACATACGCGCCACGGGCACGCTGTTCCACGTACTGTTGGGCTCGATCGTATGCCTTGATGTCGATGGGTTCGATCTTGGCTGCTTGACCCTTTTGTTGAAGCAGTAGAGCGTTGTGGAAAGTGGTGTCTTGGAGGGTTATCTTTGCACCGTTGAAGTCAATGCTAGTACCCGGGGTCATCGTTGTCTTCGGCTTTGCCCGAAATTGTGCCTTTACGAGTTCCGCTTCCTCTAGCGCGGAAAAACGTTGTGTGCCAAGCATAAGGGTATCGTCAGTCTGCATTCCCACAATCCCAAAGTTATCAGGTCCCTTATTCGTAATTAGGAAGCATAGGTCGTAGGTTGATGTGGACATGTCGAGGTTATCGACATGATGCCCGTGATAGGTTCGAAACCAATGGACTCCGGCCTCCGCAATTCCGTATAGGGGCTTAATAACGCGAATGATTGTTCCTTCCGGGTATCTTCCTTCTAATTCGGCGGGAAGATGCGTGAGAATGGTGCGGAATAGTTCGGTCTGCGCCTGGGGATACGCTTGTGTGATGTCACGAAGAGAGGGTCATGCCGTGAGAAAGGAGGTCTGGGGAGATAGCAGAAATAAGCCGTTGACTGACGCGTTGAATTGTCGGGGATTGCGTCAATAGGGTGGTTTCTCT